CAGGCCAAACTGAACTCCTCGGTTGTTGGTAAGACATGAAAATAACTAAGACATCTTTATTTCATAAAAATATCATTTCCACTCATGTGCCTGGCACATCATAGACATTCCACAAATACTTACTGAACTGAATGTACAGCTGTTCTTTTTCCAGGGAAAAGGAGCCTACTCTTGAACAGGAGAAGTAAACTTAAGTGTCTTCCTTCAGCGACTCTACCCCAGTATCCAACCATGGTTGTTCCCCATCTCAAAGACATGTTCAAAAATATTTAGAAGCAATCAGAGTTGTGTTAGTCATTAATACCGTTCACCAAATATTTCCAGCTTTTTATCTTCTGAGTACATGGAAGGACTGCACTTTCTGGCCCCTTGTGGTTCGATGGAGCAATGGGTCAAGGGGCTGTGACCAGAAGTGACATGTGTCACTTCCGGGCCAGAACATTTAATTGCCAAGGCAAGACTCTCCAGGGCTCTCCTGCCCTCTGTCACAGTGATTAATGACATTCAAGATGTGGAGGCTCAGCCAGTTTCATCCTGAACTAACCAGGATGGTCCTTTGGTATGAGCAATAAATAAACCTGTTTCTGAGTTGCCACGATCTGGGGGGTGCTTATCGTTGCAGCAAATCCTGGCCTATGCTGACTGCTAAAGTATCCAACCAGAGTACTTTGCCATAATCTACCACATCCCCACAAATCACCAATCACCAGATGAAAACATGGACAGCCCTTCTCAGGGATCGCCAAGGTGAAGGAAATCATCACGATGTCCGTGTTTTATCCAGAGCTGCCGTGTGGCCCAATGCTGTTCTGCCTGTCTCTCTTTCTGTGACCACTAGGCTAGAATATGGGCAAAGGGGACTTCCTTCTGTAACTGGCTCCTAGCAGTGAACACCTTACGGGAGGGCTTGTGGCTAAAAGGACACTGCAGGGTTCTTTGATAACGCCATGTGAACCCTCTCTAATCCCCAGAGGCAAACCGCACAGGGTGAATCTACTGCCTTATCAAAAATGCTTCCAAATGTAAACAATTGAAATCAGACAAGCCATGGTGAGAGTAGATGTTGGAGATTATTTAATGCAGCAGTTTATAAGCTGGGTATCTCAAAATCCCAGAGGCCTTGTCCATCAGTCAGTCCACACACACTTCTTGTAGTATCTACTCTCTCACGGGCTTTGTAGTAGGTGACTGAGATGCCGAAGCACGTAATGCAGAGTTCCCATGCTCAGGGCACCCTGCAGGTGGTAAGGACACGTCGCAGGTGCACTGGACTGGCTGCCGTTGGGGCAGAGGGACTCCGGCTAGGGCCGGAGCAGGGGTGCATGCCCAACGCCAAGGAGCATAAGCAACTTCTGACGGAACTCTGGCTGGGGCCGGAGCAGGGGTGCATGCCCGACGCCAAGGAGCATAAGCACCTTCTTAAAACGAAGGAGGAGAGAAAAAAAAAAAAAGAGACAAGTTCCTGTTCTTAAAAAGCTTTCCTTCTAGTGGAGGATGACAAAGCACTAAACTTATACCAAATTAAAAATTTCAAGTACCGATACATACAATGCAGAAGATAAAAATCATGTAATGATATAGATCAGGGTTGGCAAACTATGATCCGCGGGCCCAATCCAGCCTACAGCCGATTTTACTATGGCCCATGAGCTAAGAATGATTTTTTTGTAATTTTAAGTGGTTGAAACAAATGAAGAGAAGATGAGGATTATTTCACAATGCATGAAAATGATACGCAATTCAAATTTCAGTACCCATAAAGTTTTATTGGAACACAGCCACACCCTATATGATCCGCCCTGGCTACTTTGCCAACCTCAACCACTGTGGCTCTGGTGCCCCCTCCCTCCCTATTCCAGCTTCACTGGCCCCCTGGCTACGACCCAAACCCCCAAGCCACCTCCCTGCCCTCCCCATGGCCAGTGCACAATGGTTGCCGCGGCCCCCCTCACTTCCTTCAGGGCTCTGCACAAGTGAAATCAAATCCGAGAAGTCTCCCCCACCCATCACTCTGTGTCTCCCCCTCCTGCCTGATCTTCTCCATGGCACGACCCCTGACAGGTTATAGATTTGCTACTGCCTGCCTCTCCCCGCCATTGGAATGTAAGTTCCAGGAGAGTCGAACACAGTCTCCCCCTCCTGTCTGATCTTCTCCATGACATCGTAGGCACTCAACAACTGAGTGAATGAACTGTCGAACACAGTTAAGTTCTAACGCGAGGCAAGGGAGATCTTTTACCAACTGGGACCTTATGATCGGTCAAATCTTTCACGATGCAGGGAGGCCTCAGTGTGTCTTTGCTTTATAATGTCCTAGTATCTTGCTAGAGATTATAAGAATTTGTGCCAAGAGAGAAAAAACTGGACTTTGCATGGAAGCCACCTAAGAAGAAAGGTCTCCTTGCCTCTCATCTCAGTGACATTCCCAATTATGTATAGTTCCCCACCCTCTCTGCTAATCTCGAGTGGTAGGAAAGAGTTAAGTTTAGAAATGCGCTCAGAAACAAGGTTACTGTCATGTGTGTCCTTATTTCTCTAGGACCTCCAGCCACTTGTGGTAGTGATAAATGTACCCAGGAGTTCCAGATCTTACATCAGGCTCTACACGGAAGGGTTCATGTGTCCAAATACTGTATTTTCATCCCATAAACTACGTTTTATAAGCTGCTCCCAAAAGGGGTTCCATAATGGAACTCGTTCAACATTTAGCCTTACTGGTATTTTTTTCCTAGTGCTCGTAGGGGCCTACAATAAAGGTTTATCCACAAGTCCAAATCAGGATTTTTAAATTAAAAAATAAGTCATACAAGGAAGATGTAAGATACGGTGGGTTCTATTGTATCCTGAATACCAATAACATGCTATGGTGATATAAAAGCTTCAACCACCAGTTAAAAGTGACTGACTAGCATAGAACAGATCTGTGTATAGAAGCATGTAATTCAACACAGTTAGCTACAGGCTCATAAATGAAGAAGTTAATAGAAAACATTTCAAATGTCTTTTGTGCCAAGGACTGTGCCTGATTGAAAAGTGAACAAGAACTCATTGGGCCATGTGACCAGCAACAGAGTCAATGGACTTCTCCGGTGAATGACTTAGGAAGTGAAAAGAGGGAGGGGAAAAGAGGGTCTGCTTCCTGGAGTGAAATAAGCAAGGTGCCCTCAGTTCTTGTTATTCAATTCACTCTAGAGTCGATTTCAGGAGAAGGCACGTGACACCAAGCCTATGAAGTCCTGTCGGCCACGGGACTTCTCATGAAAGTTCAGACGTTCCAGTGGGTCTTGGTATCACATACAGTTTGAATGGCTCCAACACCCACCAACATTCATCCACCAGTGAAGAAAGAGGGGGCTAGGAGGTAGTGTGGAGGAGAAGGAAACCAATTTTGCCAGGAAAGAGTGGGGGAAGCCTACCATAACCTGCAGTTATTCCTTCATCACTCTAGTGGTATGTTTGCATCAGTGACTTTGAAAAGATTTATGGAGGCTGGCTTCATAGGAGTGCTCAAGGAGATGCCAGGATTCCCGATGACAAGAACTGCTTATCAAATAAACCAGAAATAGTGCTGGCCAGACAGTCAGTGTGAACGACTGGACAGTGAAATTATAGGTAATTATGACCGAATGCCCAGAATGTGAACACTGTGGTACTCAGGGCTGTCACATACAGATGTGAGTCTATGTAAAGCTTCCTAGAGTTGGGCAGTGCACATCCTGTGCAACTATATAGGACTACCCCAACTGTAGAAAAAAATCTGGAGAAAACAGACACCAATAAATCCCACATCTAGATGGTTAATCTGATTATATCAGTGAGCCAAGATCAGGCACTGGGTTAACCCTGTTTCTAGAAGAAAATGTGTTCTGCTTAGATTGAGAAACTCAGCAGCTGAACAGTATATACAGATTTGCGTTGAGATTTTCAAACAGAATTATCTCAGTTCACAAAGTCCATGCACTGCTGACCCCAAACAGCTCTCCTAAATACAAGTAGCAAGACTAATGAAATTAGGATGCCTCACACTCCAGTGGCATTAAGTGCAATCGTCTGGGGTATCAGTAGCTGGATACATGGTTGTTGCAGGAAAAATATTCACAGACTCGTATAATTAGGGTAGAGGCAATGCTAGTCTAACCTGAAGACAAGGACAATGTTCAAGGACAGAAAGTGAGGACTGTAAGGGAAGGGCAACCTAGGGAACAGAATTGGCATTGCCATCCATTTAGGAACAGAGGGGGCTAGAAGACAGGAGGAGGGTGGAGAGAAGAACACGTTCATGGACCTACTACTAAGGAAGAACTTGAAAACGTCTAATAATAAATGGAACATTTTTATCTCCCAGAGCAAAAAAATAAATTCATATCCCAGTGTTTATTACCATCTCGAATACACTTCCATACTAAATTTTCATTTAAACAAGAACATTAAGAAGCATATTTCTTCTTAGATTTTCTCTTAAGAAAAAGGGGCTAAAGGAAAAGTCCAATAACCAATATGGTGCAGCTCCTTATCCCTCACACTACCCAGTCACATCTATGCCAAAACTTCTGCTTACTCCAGGCACCCCCGCCCTTCACATCGGAAACATTTAATTTAGCTAGGGGTTGGGTAGACAGAAGCGCAATATATGGAGCTTCATTTTTTTTTTTTTAAG